GGCTTCCAATAACATCACACTAAATGCTAACAGAACAGTGCATTGAAATCGTGTTTCAGTGGATGCGTGAGGACTGTTGAGCGAACAGACATGCTAATTCTGTGCATTAGTGAGTCTGTCACTGCAGAACTTATCCTCCTCAGCGTGGAGCTGATGGTTGCCCAAAAGCCAGCGACGAAACTGCACGCGCTATGTAAATTGGTTGGTTGTACAGCCTGAAGACGTCGTAGTGAAAGGCGTACACACCATTGTCGTTAAAGGTTTTCAACACTTTCATCCAGCTAGGAACAAGTCGGTTGTCATCCTTCGTACGCCAGTAGTTGGAATGCGTTCATTTTAATTGCGTTGTCCTACAAATCGACATTTTGTAGCAGTGGTCGTTCGTGTCTCGGTTGGGTGAATTTACCACTTTGTCTTAAGTTGTGGTGCACATTGCTGAAAACTTGCTACTCCACTGTCGGGAAACCGCCGTTGATATTCCTCGATTGCTACACTTACAGTACCTAAATATAGCGAATATCTGCATAAAGTCAGTCCACGCTGTACGGAATTTCGCTCATACGAAATGCTGTAGTGAAGCGAATGCCCTCCACTTGGCTCGTCATCCGAATGCATCTCGCTCACGCGAAATCTTTCAAACAAAATCGAAATTGTGCCGACGAAAATGAAAACAAAGGACACAACGTCGTGAGTCTGTATAACGAGGGATGTAAATTCGCCTTAGCCTCTGTTTTGTTGTGTATCCTGTTAGAGATTTTGCTGCTTTTAACAATTTCTTGATTTTTCCTCTTAATCATGGATGTTTTAGGCAGTAAAACTGCATATTTTTATTTTTTTAAAATTTTTATGTCTTTCGGGATCGTAGCTCCCAATTATAACAATGCGGTTGTGGTACACAGCGATTTGCTAAAGGAACTGTCAGCATTAACGTAACAATTCTCACGGGCCATGGACTGTTATTCTTCATTAGAAAAAGTGGTCATTACTGCTGCTTGCAAGCTCAAGAAGCGAGAGGAATCTGAACTAATCGCATTCGAACAGCAACAACCGGTTCTGCCTTTCGCCCAACAGCACTCCTACCATCGCACCATAGTTTGGGTGGGAAGGGGATCCTGATGCATTAGAATGACGTCACTGCTAGCATCCATTTATCCTGAGCAATTCCGCCGTCAGCCTGAAACTGCGAATATCTTCGAAATGTGTTATATTTTAAGTCTTTGGCTCGAATTGAGCCCAAATATTCGTCCTTGAGCAACAGACATTCCATTGTGGGACACTCTGTATTTCATACTGGCTTTTACGATGAGAAGTTATTAGTCCATTACCCAATTGCATCCTGGTAGACGACACTTTGTCGGCTGTCCTCGATTCTTTATTCAAAATATTTGCAGCTACCCCCCACACCTGGAGGCCTCATCCTTTATCCGCAACCTGTGGTCCTGACTCGCGGAGCGCCTTGCATGCTGCATTGTACTCTCTATAAAGTACTTCAGTGAAAGCAATATTTTTAATCTTGTCCAAAAAAGAATTCCTTCGTCTCCGTAGTTGTTTCTTCATGTTTTCTGGCTGGAATTGTTTACGCAATTATCATCATTCCCACGCGTTCTTCTTGTCCTGCCCATCTAATTCTTCTTGATTTGATCAACGTAATTGTTCCAGTAGTATGTCTGGTGAACAGCAGGTGGGACCGAATACTCTGTTCACCATTTTGCCCTCAAATATCCTGAATCTGTATCGTTTCCTTGGGGTGGTCGACAAAGTTGTGTGCCTGTATACCTATAAACCTTATACATTTTACTGAGAACCTTAAATTTTAAATCTGATGAAATAAATTTAACCTAGTGTAGTGACAGGCCTATAACTAGTAGATTGACGGACAGAAAACACATCAAGGTTAATGGACTTTTTTTGTTTGTCGAGAGCCGATCGAGAAATCGATTACCTGCATTATTTTTCGGTTTTGTTTTCTTCATCCCACATGCCATTTTCTCAAGTATAGTGTAAAGTACTGTATTTCGACTAAAGTTCGTTACAAAGAAAGGCAACTGGATTCGAGAGATTTTTGACAATTTGAATTTGAAATGATACCCATATATCGACATATACGTCATATAATATGTATGTAATAACATTCTGAAACGCTAGGCGTTAACAATATATATATTTTTATTTATTGTTTCGGGGAAGTATTGACGTCAAGTTGTCTTTAAATTCCCACAATATGAATCATAGATGACCCCACTCCCAAGAATATTAAATTGTAATACAATATGTATAATGCACGCTGTAATAGCAGAGACATTTGTGGCATGTGAGAAAAGCATCAACAATCCAGAGAGACCTATTTCTGACGCTAAAATTAATCAGATATTTGTGATATTCCTGGTCTAAACGTTTTATTTATCCCCGTAGACATAGGAATAGGCGACATACGTGTGTGAACGTTTTTGGTATATTTAAAGACACTTTAAATAACACGGACAATATGGTGTTGAATAACAGGATGATTAATTAATTATACACAGGAAGACATATAGAAGGAAATGGTCGTGGCCTAATTGTAGTCACTATCCCAACAGCATTTTCTTCGACTGTATGAAGAAAACCACGATAAACTCAATTAAGACGGCATGTCTCTGGGCCGAGATTTGAACCTGGGACTTTCCTAACATGACATAGGGGTACTGACCACTTGACCTTTGGTATTCTGATTAAAGAATTGTTGAGTTCAAATGGATAGCAAAATGTAATCAACACATGTGCAAACTGTGCGTAATTTAATTCCTTTAATTTTTATAAGTAGATGCTGGTTACCTCTCAGACAGACAATCAGTTTGAAGATGCCTGCTTTCTGGGATGTGGTTTTGTACAGTCTAAAAAAAGTGATCGAAATTTTAGAGGATCTTACTGCCCGGAACATTACGCAGATGAGTATAGTGTGCGTGAAAAGGTTGTGGTTTGCTTGGGAGTGAGATGGGCAAGGCAAACTGGGCGTGCAAGGTCTTCTCCTTAACAGAAGAAACGGCCTGTCCATTAGAAACGGTGTGCTGATTTACAAGCAGCTCGACCGTCCTATGATGGGTTGCCCATGCCCTCTCAGGAGTCAAAGTTTGTAACCCTTTCCGGAAGTTTTCAAATGTCTTCGCCGTGGTACGTTGCTAATACGCAAATTCATGAGAAATTCACGGTCCCATTTTTCGTCCTGTACATCTAAGCAGTACCTGAGAGTGTCGACTTGAAGTTAGCTGACGCAACGAACCCCTTACTTCGGCAACTTTGAAGGCGCTTACGTCTGCCAGTGTTGTATGTAGTCTGAGCGATCCTCTAGTAAGCGAGTCAATTCGACGAGTGACACTATTTGGCTAACCTGACTCAGGTTTACCGTTACTCGTAGCAGCTGTAAGAGAAATTCCAGGGCATCGTTTAAGGGCACGGTTCTCCTCACCTAAACACGGAGGCCTGCAGCTAGTTCGATCGAAATTTTTCCCACCAGCAACAACAGCCTTCGGTCTGAACACGGCAAGGTCCTCAGTCAAGGAAACGAAACCGAAAGTAAAGCACGTCCTCAGTTATAGTTTTTAAGGCACCGTTTTCACTTTCCAGCCATGTGTTTCAAAAGCAGGAACAGTGTAAGCTTTTTGGTTGGTTTGATTAGCGCGACGTATTCATCGTCCCACAGCTAGACCCCCGCCATTAGTAAGGTTTTTGGTTGCTTTGATTAGCGCGACGTATTCATCGTCCTGATGATGGAGGCAGTAAGCTCCTCTGAAAAGTCGGTCAGTATCTACCATATTACACTGTGCTGCATCCGAGAAGACATTCTGCAAATGTGGTATTTAGGGACGAGATTTGTGTGTGTGTTTTTTTTTAACCACTTGTCTATGTGTCTCGGCTATACCGCTCTAATTTTGTTGACGATGTCATCAGTATCTACCATATTACACTGTGCTGCATCCGAGAAGACATTCTGCAAATGTGGTATTTAGGGACGAGATTTGTGTGTGTGTTTTTTTTTAACCACTTGTCTATGTGTCTCGGCTATACCGCTCTAATTTTGTTGACGATGTCACTCTCATTAAGTCTCTCTTCTTTGCAGGTTAAACCTTGAAACATGTCAGGACCAAAAAGGTAAGTGCTGTATTGACTAAGCATTATCAGGCCAATTTGATGCTTTGATTACTTCTGCTGATTGATTCCTTTTATTGAATTTTCAGAATTTTTGTTGCCAGTGAAACATTCACAAACGTGTGAATTTTTATATTTATGACTTTGGGGTCTTACATTCGAAAATAATAAAATTTGTGTTCACGGTCTGTAAATAGCCTATGTACGTAAATAATTCCACAGTTTACATGATACCTCCCTTCGTCAGGAAACGGTTGTTTATTATTTTCCTTTAGTACTGAAAACCGAGGATTGTCTTAAGTAATTTAGAACATTGCCTTATACAGACTTAACGGAATATAATAATTATACATATGGACTTCAGTTGTGCTTATGTTTTAATACGGACAGCTTGTAATAATCTGCTTCATATTTGCTGTACTGCACATCACACACAATCTACATCTGTTCCTCACAGCTCCAGGCGTACGTAGCTTGTGACAGGGCGGTGTAGATGACAGTTGCTTAAATCTTATCATTCTCTGTGGTTTTGTATGATTTGCGTCTGCCGTAACATTTTATATGCTTTATTAGAGCAAACGTTCATGTTTGTTGGTAGGCCATAATTACGTTCTACAACTATAAATTTTCTTGCTTCCGGTACCCGAGAACAAAAAGTATGAGTGACACTCTATGAGAGATAATTTAGTTTTCACGCACAATTGACAAGTTTTCCCCCATAAAAAATTAAGAGAGAGGAAATTCGTTGAGTTTGAAAACACATTATGAATTTCATGTGTTTCACGACGATTTGACGTAATCACAATTTTTTTATTTTAGTGTGCTTCATTTTTACCGTTCGTATAAAGCAGTCAATAACCGATATTACATCAAAATCGAGGAGCGAAAATATGGGCGAGGTACTTTCGTAGTAGTTGAGAAACACTTCCGTTAGATGGCAGTGTCATCAACACGGCATGAGATGTCATGGCAGCATCCAACTCCCACCACTCTGGACCACTTTCATGCAAGTAAAGGAGGGGTTTGGAGAAGTGTGCCCCCTCCCTTCATATTGCTGTAGATTCTCACATGCGAAATCCAGCAAGACACAACAAGTATTGAACGTGCAAAGCGCAAAGAAGACGAACTGGAAGGAAATTAAAAATGAAAAGAAAAAAGTCCAAGATAGCTGCAAGTGGAAGCATACCAGGAGTACACCCAAGTCGCCGTTAGCTTCTGGAAGCTGACCAGTTCTTCAGGAGGCTGCTTAGCAGAACACCGTAGTCTGCAGCCTCTCGTGCCACGGTCCTCATTCATCTTTGCTGAGACCCGTCGACATTCGCTCTTCCTATTGGTTGCCTCTAACAACACCTGTACTCTGATTGGCTCGTGTTATTTACAAGTCTACAACTGAGTGAGAGCGAGAAAGAACGTGTGTGTGAGTCCTTTTTCAGTGCTTCTGTGGAGGAGTGCACAGAAGGAGAGATACGAAAAGGTAGGAGTGGGGGGTGACGTTAGAGAGAGGCGGACTTTTCAGTAAAAGGGGGAGGGGGTAAAACAGCTAGCGCCATTATTGTAAGGGGTTACATTTAGTTGGTGGAGGTATAGTAGCTGGGTATAGAGGGCTATAGCCTCGACATACAGGGGCCATAAAGGATTCGAAGAAGTAAAGGAGAAGAACGCGAAAGAAATTTTGAGGGTGAATAGGGTTTTTTTGATGCGATAGTGGGTTTTTAACGGCACGCGGCACCATTTTAGACCGGGTGCCCGGTTTTTTGCGGGGTGTGTACATCATAAAAAATATAAAGCTGTAAACGAAAAGAGGTATTGCATTATTATCGGCAGTCGTAGTCATTGCTTTGTATTCTTTGGGTTTTCATTTGTGGTTAGCTTTTATTTGATTTGAGGATCACAAGGAAATAAACTTTCTCGTTCTAAAAATAGGAAGACAGAAGTTATTTTATATTTACTGAACAAACTTTATAATCTGCAGCATTTAAAAACTTTGAATGTGTTACGGAATCTCAATAATTTTAATATGATGGTGGACCACATTGTCACTGAAGAAGGGTTAAACCCCAGGAATGTTGCATTAACTGTCAGTGCTCGGAGCTGTGCTTTTTTTTTTAATCGCTTGTCTATGTGTCTCGGCTCTACCGCTCTAATTTTGTTGACGATGTCACTCTCATTAAGTCTCTCTTCTTTGCAGGTTAAACCTTGAAACATGTCAGGACCAAAAAGGTAAGTGCTGTATTGACTAAGCATTATCAGGCCAATTTGATGCTTTGATTACTTCTGCTGATTGATTCCTTTTATTGAATTTTCAGAATTTTTGTTGCCAGTGAAACATTCACAAACGTGTGAATTTTTATATTTATGACTTTGGGGTCTTACATTCGAAAATAATAAAATTTGTGTTCACGGTCTGTAAATAGCCTATGTACGTAAATAATAGAAAATAATTAAATTTGTGTTCACGGACTGTAAATAGCCTATGTACGTAAATAATTCCACAGTTTACATGATACCTCCCTTCGTCAGGAAACGGTTGTTTATTATTTTCCTTTAGTACTGAAAACCGAGGATTGTCTTAAGTAATTTAGAACATTGCCTTATACAGACTTAACGGAATATAATAATTATACATATGGACTTCAGTTGTGCTTATGTTTTAATACGGACAGCTTGTAATAATCTGCTTCATATTTGCTGTACTGCACATCACACACAATCTACATCTGTTCCTCACAGCTCCAGGCGTACGTAGCTTGTGACAGGGCGGTGTAGATGACAGTTGCTTAAATCTTATCATTCTCTGTGGTTTTGTATGATTTGCGTCTGCCGTAACATTTTATATGCTTTATTAGAGCAAACGTTCATGTTTGTTGGTAGGCCATAATTACGTTCTACAACTATAAATTTTCTTGCTTCCGGTACCCGAGAACAAAAAGTATGAGTGACACTCTATGAGAGATAATTTAGTTTTCACGCACAATTGACAAGTTTTTCCCCATAAAAAATTAAGAGAGAGGAAATTCGTTGAGTTTGAAAACACATTATGAATTTCATGTGTTTCACGACGATTTGACGTAATCACAATTTTTTTATTTTAGTGTGCTTCATTTTTACCGTTCGTATAAAGCAGTCAATAACCGATATTACATCAAAATCGAGGAGCGAAAATATGGGCGAGGTACTTTCGTAGTAGTTGAGAAACACTTCCGTTAGATGGCAGTGTCATCAACACGGCATGAGATGTCATGGCAGCATCCAACTCCCACCACTCTGGACCACTTTCATGCAAGTAAAGGAGGGGTTTGGAGAAGTGTGCCCCCTCCCTTCATATTGCTGTAGATTCTCACATGCGAAATCCAGCAAGACACAACAAGTATTGAACGTGCAAAGCGCAAAGAAGACGAACTGGAAGGAAATTAAAAATGAAAAGAAAAAAGTCCAAGATAGCTGCAAGTGGAAGCATACCAGGAGTACACCCAAGTCGCCGTTAGCTTCTGGAAGCTGACCAGTTCTTCAGGAGGCTGCTTAGCAGAACACCGTAGTCTGCAGCCTCTCGTGCCACGGTCCTCATTCATCTTTGCTGAGACCCGTCGACATTCGCTCTTCCTATTGGTTGCCTCTAACAACACCTGTACTCTGATTGGCTCGTGTTATTTACAAGTCTACAACTGAGTGAGAGCGAGAAAGAACGTGTGTGTGAGTCCTTTTTCAGTGCTTCTGTGGAGGAGTGCACAGAAGGAGAGATACGAAAAGGTAGGAGTGGGGGGTGACGTTAGAGAGAGGCGGACTTTTCAGTAAAAGGGGGAGGGGGTAAAACAGCTAGCGCCATTATTGTAAGGGGTTACATTTAGTTGGTGGAGGTATAGTAGCTGGGTATAGAGGGCTATAGCCTCGACATACAGGGGCCATAAAGGATTCGAAGAAGTAAAGGAGAAGAACGCGAAAGAAATTTTGAGGGTGAATAGGGTTTTTTTGATGCGATAGTGGGTTTTTAACGGCACGCGGCACCATTTTAGACCGGGTGCCCGGTTTTTTGCGGGGTGTGTACATCATAAAAAATATAAAGCTGTAAACGAAAAGAGGTATTGCATTATTATCGGCAGTCGTAGTCATTGCTTTGTATTCTTTGGGTTTTCATTTGTGGTTAGCTTTTATTTGATTTGAGGATCACAAGGAAATAAACTTTCTCGTTCTAAAAATAGGAAGACAGAAGTTATTTTATATTTACTGAACAAACTTTATAATCTGCAGCATTTAAAAACTTTGAATGTGTTACGGAATCTCAATAATTTTAATATGATGGTGGACCACATTGTCACTGAAGAAGGGTTAAACCCCAGGAATGTTGCATTAACTGTCAGTGCTCGGAGCTGTGCTTATGACATCTTAAGTGTGAGTAGGCCTAAATATAGTGGACACAATCAGCTGATTGCTACAGATAAGTTGACTGAGGAACAGCGGGAGAAGGAGCAATGAGTTCAAAATTCTTGCTTGATAGTATGCTCCCTAAATATCACCACCAGCTTTATCAACATCATCAGCAACAGTTACTTGCAAGTAGTAATCCTTCAGCAGCATCAGCTTTGTTTTCTACGTCACCATCCCCCTCAACGTGCACCCCTATCAGTGACAACAACAGTCTCGGCAACAGTGGCTCAGCCGTTAATTACAGCAGCTCAATCGGCACCCAGCATTCGCCCTCATCAGCATCCTCATCGCCACAGCACACTTCGTCATCAACATCCCCTGGAATAGTCTCTTCGGCAGCTGTAAGTAGCAGGATGTACCCTTACGTGTCTGCAGCTGCAGTTCATCACCACCACCAGCAGCAACAAGCCGTCGCGGCAGCTGCGTTCGCAGGAGCTGCAGCAGCTTCTGGTTCCATGGTACCAGGAGCATTCTCATCTTCAGCGGCTAGCTCGGCAGCTTTGGCATCGTGCAGGTACACTGCAGGACTGACAGGAAATGTGCCGACACCAGATTCCATGGTTAATTACACCCTTGGACATCATCATCAGAACGGAGCCGCTGCTTCGGCTGTGTCTGCGGCTAGCACAGCGTCTGCAGCGTCGGCATCGATGGCTGCCGCGGCTCAGTTCTATCATCAGGCTGCTGCAGCTTCAGCCGCCGCGGACCCGCTGTCGTCGTGCTCTCAGCCCGGGGCAGCGTCTGCCGGCCAACCCATCCCGGACATCCCTCGGTACCCGTGGATGTCTATCACTGGTGAGTTCCATCTGAAAATTCAGTTTGTGTAATGTCAAGTGCCGTATCTTTTACTGGTAGCAGAGTTGGAACATCTACAACATGAATCATGAGAGCTTTAATGCAGGTTCTTATAATTTATGCTAAAAGAAATACCAGTTGAAGTTCGCATCAGGTATTAACTGCCCTGTTTGAGAATTTAGAGGAATGTCCGCGTAAAATACAAAAATGGAAGACGCCAGTAAAGAAAATTAGGCCTGACGAGTTGAAATTACCCATGTAACTTTGAGTTTAATTTAAAAAATTAACAAGTAATAATGCCGAAGTGAAATAATTTGAATACTTTACTTAGAGTTAGTATTTGGTGTATCGTTGTAGAATGCCAGACTGAATATAGATTTATTTGATCAATATTTCTTTCTTTGCATATCATTCACATTACAAATCTCGGTGGAAGTGTCATGCGAACGAGTAGAACAATGCTTAATGTTACAACAAGCTCTAATGAAGATAAATAATTTAAATTGTGTGCTCTTGGTTCTGTCCAGTAATCAATTAACCATGGTTCTAGTAACTTGTTAAATATAGGCTTATTTATTCAGTCCTTACATGAAAATTAACGTTGTAATTCGCAGATTTATTGACTTGTATGTTAAAAATTGAATAGTTTAGAATTATAATTTAGAATATTCTAAAGTAATCCAAATAATTATTAGACATATTTCGAACATATGGTATAAACTCAATGTTTACCAGTTTTTCAGTTAAATATTACAATGAAATATGCTTGCCCTATCTCATAGTTTACAGCAAGCCTTCAAGATTCTATATTGGTATTCTAATTAATTGGTAGGTGTTAGTTCATAACCGTTTTTGCTGCGTATTTTCTAGTTACATTTTAGCGGTATCTGTTCTGAACGTTCAAAAAAAAAATTGGTATCATGGGGTTAAATTTGTAATATTTTTCATTTTATTTCCATGTTTCCCTCTCTGTAACCAATTTTATTGTATCTGTCCGCTAGAATGAACTGCATGAAATTTACGCACGATACAATTGGCATTTGACTTGGTTTGTTATTTTCTTCTAATTATATCACTCTGCCACTTGTTATAACAAGATATTGAACAGTACGTATGTGGAGAAGGCAAACTGCATCTGTTTACGTCGTTAAATGGACTATGAAATGTAGCACGGAACTAGGAAAAGTAAGCTCTGTTTCTGGTATTCCTTTTTCACTGACTTATTTTAACTTGAAATGTGTTTGTAACCTAAAATTAGTAGCAGTTGGATAAATACGAAGGTACAGTATACATTAACACAGTACGTTACGCTGAACAGATGCGTCTAACAAGAGAACACAGGATAAGTTGAGATTAACGTGAAAATACTACTTAAACATTTACAATAATCAAACTAAAGGCAGACACCAATATATGAGTTCTCTCCTGAATGTATATCATTTGTGGAGGATAAATCTGTGAACTGATCTTGTGTAGGTCAAGAGCTGAAATGGTCATATTTGTTGTATGTAAATACTTGTAACAAAGTACAAAAATGGTTTACAGCTGCTTCCAAATTTCACGTCATCAGCAGACAGTCTGGCTCAGACTTTGCTAATTGTCATGAGACAGAAGCGAAGATTAATGTGAAGCTAATTTGAATATGAAATATAGCCCCAAAGTACAGGAAATTTTATTGCGCGGAATTGGATTCTCCTTCCTTTGGCTGTAAACAAATTAATTTTTACATGAAGATTTCTGTCTTCTGGGTTGTTGCGCCGTGTAGT